TGATTTTTATATGTTTTGCATGAAACTTGTATTTTATGTAGTTTTATTTTTCTCAATAAACCACCAGATATGTTTTATAACGTCTGGCTGGATTTCTTTGGAGAACAAGATAAGGACACTGCATTCTTTAAATCTCTCTAACGCTGGTGTGTATTTTTGGTATGGAATGTAAGCATACCTCCGCTGTACCTAACATTATAGTGAACCCGAGTAACTTTATTAGCAAGAAGTTATGCTAATTGGTGACAGTGGCCAGGTGGTAGCTCTTCCTGCTCAATATTCTCTAACAGGAAACCTTAAACACAGTCTTAAATTCTGTCCATTTCCTACATATCAGATCCCCTTTTTTCTTCAGCTTTTTAGAGAGTTCTTCATTACTGGCTTCTTTAGATTTCTCCCATTTTTCCTTCAATGACGGTTTCAAAAAATGTGTTAATACAGGTAGTCCTTGAATTATGACCATTTGTACAGTGACCTTTTGAAGTTATGATGGTACTGAAAAAATGGACTTATGACTGATCCCCAAGGTTACAGTCACGTGATTGTGATCTGGATGCTTGGCAACCTGTTCGAACTTATGACCGATTGCCAAGCACCCCACAATCACATGACTGCCATTTGCAACCTTCCCCTGCTGGCTTCCCACAAAGTCAATGGGGAAGCAAGCAGGGGAGGTCACTAAGTTGCTTGAGTAGGTCTCCCTCACCTACCCCGGCCTTTCTTTGCTCACTTGCACCACAGCCTCCTCCCCCCCTTTGCTTGCTCACACGCACCACACCCTCCTTCCCCTTTTGCTCGCTTTCATGCACTGTGCAGCCTCTGTGCTATGGCTCTGGAACTTTGCAGGAGGAAGCATTGCAGGAGGAAGGAAAAACCCTCACAAATGGCCAGCAGTTTCCAAAGTGAGCTGCAGAGTGCGCGGAAGAAGCACCCGAGTGAGCAAAGGAAGGTGCTGGTTCGTGCGAGTGAGGGGGAAGGAGGCCCCAGTGCATGCAAATGAGCAGAAGGTGCAGTGTGAGTGAGTGAAGGGGAAGGGTGCTGATGCATGCAAGTGAGCGAAGGGGGAAGGAGGGCCAAGAAGCCCCATATATCTGCTGTATAAGAAGCCCAAAGTCATTCTTTTTGCATTTCTCTTGTTCTTCTCCTTTTCTGTTCCCCAGCACTTTTCCTTTCCTTTCCTTTCCTTTCCTTTCCTTTCCTTTCCTTCTCTCTTCTTTTTCTTGATTATTAGTTTGTGTTGGTTTTTATCTTTCTGCTTTTTAAAATTTAATGAGGCTCAATTGAAAGTGACTGGGAAACAAGTCACCCACGGAGTTTCACGATCAAGTGGGGACTTGAACGTGGATCCCCCCGGTCTGTAAGCACTACCTTGCTTATTTTGTTGGACCACAAAGCACAGCTTTCCATTTTCAGACTGATCTCCCACCACATCTGTGAATGTTTTGCAAGGTACATTATTAGTTTTACAATAGGTTCTTCACTGGGAAAAAACCTGAAGCAAGTAATAGTCTGAAGTACCTAACATATATTGACATTCGATTTCAGAAAATGAAGAGTTATGTTAGCAGACAGATATAGAGTTTTCTACTTGCATTAAATACAAAATATTTGTTCATTTAGCCACAACTCAACAGATTTACATATTTAATGAAGCATTTTATTTTAAAGACCAAAGAGAGAAAGAGATAAATGTCTAAACAGCTGGAGAAAGAGGATCTTGCAATTTCAGTTTCTGCATACTGATTTATATGAATAGAACAAAAACTAATTAATGAACAATTTTAAGATTATAGAGCCTGTGCAATATAATATCAGAAGTGTTCATTTTTTAAATGAAAGATAAACTTTCTCCATTTCTTTCACACAATTGAAAGCAATTCCTTCCTGACTGCCAAAAACATACAAGGAAGCAATAAAGTCCAGTCCAAGGATACAGAAAATAGCCCATCAAACATTAATTGGTTAGTTAAAAGACTGCAGACTAAAAACAAAAATACACCAAGACTTGTATTTACAGAATCACTTGTATGCCTCTTCAATTGCTTTCTAGAAACAGCAACTTGGCAATATAAAGGAACTATTTCATATCAAACAAAATTAGTCAAAGTAGTGAAACTGAACCATAGAAGTACATTTAATAAATAAACTACTCCAAAATTGGAGAACAGAACAAAATGGGGTGAATGCGGAGATCTAGCACATTTTTTCCACCTTAGAAATCAAATCATCACAGATTTTTGTGAGTTCATCATTTTCTTTTGTCTGTAAAAGAAATAAGAAGAAAGCATCATATGGTAGATATTGTATAAATACAACTTAGAAAGTAATTTTTAAATTAATAGAGTTAATTAATTAAATTAATAGTTATATTTGTTCCTTCAGGTGCGTGTGTCTTATTTATAAGCCACAAAATGCAGAGTGAAAGTGATAGCTGCAGATTTCCATCAGGCGAGGAATTGTACCCTTTAAGTAGAATTAACCCTGAATTTTACAGCCTACTTTCCAAATATGAAGCTGGAGAGAAGAGCTTTTGTTTACCCTCACTGATGAATCTGACTGATCAGCGGGCTTATCAATGAAAGTTTAGCTATACAGTGGTACCTTGGTTCACGAGCACTACTATTCACAAACAATTCGGGTCACGAACAGCTCCGTTCGCAAAATTTTGCCTCTGTTTGCGAACGCCGGATCGGGTGACGACCAGGATCCGCGGCCATTTTCCCTGCCGTGACACGTGGTCGCGGCTTCCTGTAGGGAGGGGGACTCTCCCTCCAAGCAATAACCGCCTCCCCACCCGCCTTTCTGTCCTCCATGCCAGAAGTCGCGTCGAGCAAGGCTAGTGTTCTCTCTCTTCATGCTGTATTTTGTTTCATATTTTTGCGGTTAAAAAAACAACAACATATGGTTCAGAACGGATTAACCGTATTTACACTGAACCTTATGGGAAATTTTGATTGGGGCCGCGAAAATTTGGGGTGGGGACCAGAGTCGCGGAACAAATTAAGTTCGTGAACCGAGGTACCACTGTAATTGCTATACAGTAACTAT